GGAAGAAGAAACAATTGAACATTTGCTTTAGGACTGTGATAGTGTACAACATTTTTAAGAGAATTTGAAGATCACTTTGAAAATACATGTAAAACTAAATATCAAAAACAAAAAATAATTTCATTTTGGGGTTCTTGGATGTAAAGAAAAAGATGCCAAATAATATTTTTCTATTGCTTAGATATTATATCTACACAATGAGGTGCACACTTCAGGGAAAACACTTAATGTAACTACTGCGATATCGCTTATGAAAACATCTTATGAAACACAAAGATATATTGCTTATAATAAAGATAAAAAGGATATGTTTGACACCTGTTGGAACTTTTGGAATCAATTGCATGTATTTCAAGGACTATTACAGATATTTATGTGTATATATTTTATGAATGCATGCAACCCTTTTTTCTCCTCCTCTCCCTCTCCCTCTCCCTCCCCCTCTCTCTAAAATAAAAGAAAATTACAACTTCTGTTAAACATATGTTGTATGAAAAAGCAGAATGTATAAAACAAAAATAAAGAATTATTAAAAAAACTACACTGTACCTTACGCATATCTACACACAGTCTACCACAACAAACCAGTCTACCAAGAGCCATTTATGCGAAAATTCGCAGACAAAACGACGCTTCAAAAACATTAAATCGACGATATCTCTGGACCGGAAGTAACGTCATCAAAGCATAAAGAAGTAAGTTTAAAAGATGTAACATACGCCCTGAAAGTTTCAGAAAAAATCCATTGTGCCGTTTTCCGAGAAATCACAAGCACAAAATATGTAAATAATAATAATAATAATAATAATAATACACTGTAACTAGACAAGATCGCTGCAAAGCAACAAGAAAGCCTTTTGTCAAATTTTCAGGAGATGATATCAAGATAAAGATACATCATATTAAGCATCCCCATCGACGAGATATCTGACGTTTTCAGTAACATTAGTCATTGACATCTACGCTGATATATGCAAAAATAAGCAATTTATGACTAACTTCGGTATGACCGAAAGCGACGTCATTGGACGACATTTAATGATTCTCACTAGATGTTATTTTGAACAACTTTGCTTCTATAATATATTACAAATTCTCAGAACTTTTTGAAAAATTGAGAAAAAAAAAGTTCAATCCCTCTAGATTACTTTTAGGAGCCAATTCCTTCTTGTTGATATCTGGTTTAAGATAAAGTCAATTTGCACAAATTTTTTTTATATGTTTCAACATATCATTGAGAGGTAAGTAAATATTTTAGAAAAAGTGTTTTAGATTTTGATAATTTTGATATGCCTTTTTAGACCACAGTGAGCTGCGGCATGGAAACGCCAAACACACATCTGCATACATTTCGTATCATATCTCTACCAAACCTGAAAGTTTCATGTTTCTATGTTTAACTGTTTATGAGAAAATCCGTGGACAATATCACCCTTCAAAAATTATTAAATTTACAGTATCTCAGGACCGGAAGTGATCATTTAAATAGAAAAAGTAAAAATTTCGAGTAATGATGAATACAAATGTACATGTAAGTCCTGAAAGTTTACGTCTACGTAACTTTGGTGCCCCTAACAAAAATTTTCTATAGTTAATTAACTATAATTAACAATAGTAAATACATAGATACTTTGATTTACTATGAAACTTTACTCTAGATTTTTTGTTGTTGAGATTTTAGTTCTTAAAGAGACATTGTGTCGGACAAACGGGAAAATTGACAAAAATAGAATTATTGCAAGACAAATGCAAATTTTATTCATTTCTTAAAAGTATTAAGTTTCAGAAAATTACAGATTTCAGAACATAAAAATCTACTTTTATGGAGAAAAAAATAAGTAAAAATAATTTTAGTTTGCCCCAATCCAAAAACATTGCTTCACTTCTTCCTCTTTAAGGTACGCATGCGTAGAAAAGTTGAAGAAGTTACCATGGTCAATTCCATAGATTTAAATGTTGGTTGACCGAGGATTTGGATATAATCTTCAAAAAAGATGATCAGAACTTATTCCTCACTTTTGATTGCTCTAAGTCAATGTTGTTTACACGTTTCACGCTAAATATAAAAGACACATGACCTTGACATTGTTGACATTGACGATAAAAACCACGCCATAGATACAACTTTTCTTTTCCGGCACTTACATTTTGCAATTTTTTTTTCTTTTACCATGCAGTTGAGATCTCAAAACTTCGCCTTATTCATATTTCTCATAACTCTTTAGCTTTATGATTCAATTATCTTAAAAGAATCACATGATATTGACTCATTTGAGTAAATTTAAAATCTCTTAAATTCAATAACAGTGATGTAAAATTTGGAAATAATATATGAATATACAAGTAATAGTTCCATTTAATATAAAAATATGCATGTTTGAATTGGAGGACCTAAAATATAACAATCTGAAATCCATAATAAAAATACTTTGCTTCACTTTAGTAAAAACTTTGGTACTATAGTAAACTATAGTATTTTTGTTAGGGGCAGTCGAATGGTGATTCGCGTTAATATCACAAAAGGACAAATATCACGTAACATCTTTCAGCCAATGAAAATTAGGAAAATAATCTTCTTATATAATATTTACAGTTGTTGTATTATCATAATTGGCTTTCAAAATAGCTGGTTCTGTGAAATGGCTTTATGGATAGGCCGACTGCAGGCTCTCACGGAGGTTGTTCGTCATAAGATGAACCTCTATATGACTCATAAAACTCGTTCAATCACTAGATTTAAAAAAAAAAGTCGGAACAATTCTTTGTCCGATCAAGGCTTTTTCAAGAGTTGTTAAAAGACTGCCTGCTCCATCTCTGATGCAAATCTACAACCTTCAATAATGAAACATTGCTAAGAGTCACCAGGAATTAAAAAAAAATCTTTTGCGTGTGTTTTGGTTTGAGGTCAAGATCACTTGACTTATGCTATGTTCATTTGAGCTTTATTCAACTCTAAGTAAAATTGGGATGAATTTTCTTACATGATGACTAGGATGACTATACATGTACATCTGCCCTAAAATGCGCTCTGTGTGATTCTGATATGTTTAAGATTTGGGGTTACATGCAGCACATATCAAGATTGATTTGTATGTTTACCTCTATTTTTTTTTTTACCTTTCACACATGTTCTGCCTTGTGATTCTCTTTCTTTGCTTCGTGAAGTTCTTGTTAATAGCACTGAAATTTTTTGCCTGACTCATTCGGTGATATGACCCAACAGCCAAGGGCATATCAGGTCACCTCATGGGACATGTCTTTGGTTCTTATTTTACCAAGAAGAGCTTCTTAGATGTAATTAATTGTATAATAAAACTTCCTTTTTCTGTCTCTCTTGAGATTTTTTTTATATTATTTTGGTATTAGATATAAAGAATTTGTTTTAACTACTTAAATAATATGATACTAAACATATTTCAGCGACGTCTGAAGATGACAGGTCAAAAACACAGTCAAAGAAAGGTAAAAAGTTTTTAAAAAAAATATCGTTTAACGGAACAAAACACTACTTAATGGGTAATAATTAACACTGATTCATATTTGAAAAAATCAAATAACATATATTCAAATAATCTTTGCAGAAACAACATTTGCAATATGAACATTTTGATATTGAAACTTGAATAAATTTTTATGTAAAACAACATACAATTAATTAATCAATTAATCAGTTTTTCAATGTACGTTTTTCTTCCGTACAGTCATTTTTTAATGAATGATTGATTTTTGAGGTTGTACTCGGTGTAAAGAGGCTTTCAAGAGATGCCTTTCTAAGACAGGTAAATGATTTTATGTTTTGCTTCTAACTGATGGAAATAAGGTACAGTAAGAAGTTAAAAACACAGACAGATCTAAGATTCTAATAGAGCTTTCCATACCTTAAAAATAAAAAAGAAATACGTAATACATTTTTTAAATTCGAGTAATGGTTAAGGATGATAAAAATAAAAAGTATTTCAAAACAAAAAACATTTTTATGCTGCAATAGTTCCTAACTGTTTTGTTTCTTGCAACAGAGCACAAATTACCAAGTATTTCACTTCGAATTTCTGATAACTATTTCAGATTCAATGTAAGTAAAGTGAAATAGTAAGAAAAATTACTAAAGCCACCCTAAGCAGCCATTGCTACCTTAAACACTCTTTAATGCATTTTTCATCATGAGGTATCACTGTACGTTTATTCACAACCTTAAAATTTAGAGATACTTTGCAAACAGGAGAGAGACTACTTGACAAGTCTTTCTTCCGACTTTGTTGGCAGGTTTATATTAAAGGAAATTATATAATATTCATGTATCTTTTCAACAAAATCATTTCATCTGGAAACATTTTGAGGCAAACATGTTATTGACAGTTTGAGTTTGATAATTGCCTAGCACAACATATTTTTCGACATCCAGTAATTTAATAAGAAAAACTTGACTATTTCATCAATTCGAAAAATTTAAAGTTGTGGTAAACCTAAAAAAAAGTCAGGGACTTTATGAATTCTAAAGAAAATGAAAAAAGGGTGTTAATAATTTGAGAATGAATTTTAACACAATGATATGATCAACTTGCTGATTTTACATTTTAGAGCAAGACCAAATTCCCCGCTTATACAAAAACGATATTTAAAATCAGGGCGAAATATCAAAGTTTTATCTTTTATTTTTATCTAATGATATTCGGGGGCTATATTTTTAGCATAACTGTGCCAAAGAAAAATATATTGAACAATGTTCTATAGAGAATAAAATTGGACTAGAACTTTTCATAAGATAGACACTATCAATGCAAAAATACATAAATACTATAAATATTGTAAGAATATTTATTGTGACTCTTCTTTCCATTTCAGGCAATAATTTCATTGTGGCACTTGGCGTGGTAACTCTTGCCATCGTTTTTGCAATCATGCTGGTTAACTGGGCAAAGCTTATTTTTAATCATGACGATTCCAACATGATGGTTCTAATTGTTCTAATCCTGTTTAATTTTTTGGGTGTCCTCAGCATTATGGGTTTGGCATGTTCAAGATCACCAAGGGATCAAACAACGAATGAGCCAAGAAATAAAATAAAGATAACATTTTTGGATATTAAGCTTTATTCGATGTATGCATTTGGATTATGTTACTTTTTTCATTGTGGACTGTACATCTGGAAACATTTTGGCTCTGATTGTCCGAATAAATGGTTTGGTTTTGTATATAATATAATAGCTATGTTATATACATTTTTTCTGTTTTTGTATTTTAACGGGTATCATGAACGGCATAGTGATAATTCCAAACCTCAAAATATTTTTTCTGTTGGGATACTTTTAGCCAATGTTTGTATTTGGCTAGACGCTTTATTTTCTGAATGATCTGATTCAATATCATGAAGACAATATAGATATAAATGAGACGGATGTCACAATGTTTAACATCACCAATTCTTCCGATATATGTCATTATCCAAAAAGAGCAATGAAGGCTATTGAGAAAACAGAACCGTTTTTTTCACCTGCAATAATTGAGTTTTCCTTAATGGCTATAGATTTACTTTTTCTTAAAACAGAGGGCCCTCAAGAACAAGATCAATTGATTTCCTCGCCGGAAGAAGATTCTGTAAAATTATCAGGATGTTGTATTTTTTTAAGAAAGTTTTTTCAAGCTTTTTGTTCTTTGACATCATTTGCTTTGTTTGCCCTTACATTTACTTTTGTAATAATACAAGATAGAATGGAAGATACATCGAATTTTCCGGACGATTTTACGGTATACGTCATCTTTCAGATATGCTTTAAGGTTGTAATGCTTTTGTTGATTCTCTATTGCATTATCATCGTCTGGACAAATATGAATTATCATTTCAATGTATGGTGTATGGTGCTTCTCATCAGCTGTTTCGGAAATGTTGTTAATCATATGATTTATTGCTTTGGTTTAACTGTAAACAAAGGGCAAATAGAAATACCAGCTTATGTTCTCATACTGTCCTGGTTCGACAACATCATAAGTATTATACTTGCTTTTTGTGAAACCTATTATTTATTGGGAACACATTCTCACATCAAATATACTAGCACTAATAACTTCTGTTGCAAAGAAACGTTTTCCAAGTGGTATGACAGATATGTAAATTATGTATGCTTTTTAATTGGCATGATTAACATTGGTTTATGGATCGGTGATAGCATTGGCGAAGGGAGGATTCCTGTATTAAGTTATCCAATGTATCAAGCGTATGATCCCCAGGTTTGGACTATCATTGTTAAACTTGTTCTCCCGTTGACCATTTTTTTTCGATTTCAAACTGGACTCAGTTTTTTGGAAATGTACTGGGATCGCGATAAAGTGATAAAAGAAAAGAAAAATACAACTTGTGAACAGGTCGGAACGACTAGAGAGCAATCACAACCGTTATAGGGTAGAATGTCTGAGTCAAACAAGGATATAAGATTACTAGAGTTAATTTGATCTTTTGAAGATAGTAGCAGTTAATTAATTGATTAATTAATTATTAATACTTTATAATTGATAGATAAATAATTAAGAAAATAACTGTTCGAAACAAAAAAAATGTGGAGCTTTTTCCCAGGCAATTTGCTTAACGTTTGTTTGTTTGACAATTATTTAATACTTCGATATATTTCTTTTGATTTAACAATTAATGTAATACTTAAAACGAATAAATTAAGTAAAACAATATCAATCATGATGAATTCAAGTTCTTAGGAAGATGTGGTCTACTTTTTGCCCTCCCCTCACCCTAACACACACACACGCAGAAATTTTTATATAATATACACACCAGACCTCTTTAGATTTGTTTAGAGAATGCAATGACACATTTATAAAATGCAAAACTGTACTTATAAATACAAAATGATCTGAATAAATTGCTAACAAGATTATAGCCATTCCCTCACCGGAAGGTAAAAAATATAACTTTTTCCATTCACGAATTAGATTTTAATTTCATTTTGAAATATGTGTAAAATAATTATTTTGTATGGTGAAGAATTTGTAAGCTAATAAAGAGCTACACTGTCTATTTCTTTAAGAAAGACAACACATTTATATTTTGAGATCCAACAACAGCTTAAAATATCGAGTAAATTGATAAGATCTGTATGTTCTAACTAATTTTTTTACAATTAAAACATACCATATGAAGAACTACCATCGCAACGATACATAATTTGCAGAATAATCTTAATCAGAGGTTTGTTTTGTAGATGGAAAACTTCATGTCACAATCACTGTGATTGTTTTTGCTATCATTTTCACAACATTTGTGGTGGACAAGACAAACCTGTCGATTGATGCAGATCAAGTCATGTCATTTTTTTTTTACTGGCAGTGAACATTTTAGCGTTAGTGTTCGCTTTGGTATTTTTTATTCAATCAATAAGGAAAAACTGTGTTAAAAAATGCAAAATTATAAGGGAAATTTTCACAGGAAGCAAATGTGCAAAATGTTTTATCATTGGAATTTTTTTTGGTTTATTTTCTATTTATCAAATTTTTCGAATTACAAATTATTCAAACAATGCTCTCAAAATGTTATACAGAATTTTAAATACGCTCTATGTTTTAGTTCTGTTATTAGGCCTGATGTTTCAATGTTTTAGTAGTCAGAACCCTCTTTCGTCGTGTTTTTATGGCTTTTTGACATTAAATCTGTGCTCTGGAATCGACTTTTTATATCCAAATTTAAACAACAAAATTATTTTTTTTCCAAACGAAACTGATATGCAAAATCTTACTTATTCCTCAGAATATGCTTGCAATTTTATCGAAGCAACTTTACCACCTGTGGTTTTTGAGTTTATTTTAATTTGTATTGCAATGCTTTTTGTTGAGAGAAACGACACGAGAAAAGAAGGTATTACAATATTTTCCCGTCACAAATGCCTACCAGAATTTATCTTGTGCTTACTTGTTGTAATGATTTTTGTTGTTTTTCTTTTTGTTGTGTTAGCTGATAACGATATGACGAAATTTGTCTATATCATTTTTCAATTATCATTAAGAGTTGTCTGTTGTGTAGCAGGAATTATTATCATATCTATATTTTTTGGTCATTATATTTCTTTGATACCTTTAACCCTATCAAAGAAGAATAATGACCAAAAAATAACAGGTTGGGAAATTATCTTAATGATAGGCTGTTTTTTCTCCATTTTTTTCCACGTGGTATCGTGGTTAGCACTATCTAAAGAAAGTAGTACTCCCATTCATCAACTTTTTGCGGCTGATAATTTCTTCGGTATTTTCCTAACTATATTACAACTATATCTGGTTTTAGGGTCTAAAACTTTTGTTCCTCGGCAAGATAATAATGCTGTGAGTTGTCAGCAATGTACAAAGCTTTACATTGTCATGTGTTTCATCTTTGGTGGAACAACTTTTCTTCTGTCATTGTCCGATAATATAGCAATGTGTAAAATCTTGGAGATCAAGTCTTTTTTGCTTACTCATTATGGAAAGACTCTATCTAATGTGATTATTCGTGACGTTTTACCAATTAATTCATTTTTTCAGCTACTGGTTAGTAAAGAGTTGTTGAACTTGTAGGCAATCAGTTTAAATGTTGTTATTCCAACTGATGATGTTAGATGTGTATTTACTAAATAGAAGGGAAATTTTCAGATAAAATACACCTTTATATAATATATGATTATATTTTCTCTACGATTCTAATACAAATCAAATTGTCAAATTTTCGGGACGACCTAACCCTTCCTCAGGACAAAGAAAAAAGTTAAGAAGTCATAAAAACAAAGGAAACAGAGAAACAGAAACAACTAGCACTACTACTAAACTACCAAACACTAATTATTTACAGTGTTACCTTGTATCTACTTAGCAGATCCGACACTTAGGATATACAGTGTTGTTGGTTTTTAGTGTTTTATATATATATATATATATATATATATATATATATATATATATATATATATATATATATATATATATATATATATATATATATATATATATATATATATATATATATTAAATAAAAATATTCTTAAATAAAGGATTGAATGACATTTATTTTTCAAAAATAGAATTGGTTCTTTTTAATACTTAGAAACCGAATAATATTAACTTTTAGAAAATTAATATATACTACTTTTAGAAAAAAAACATTTTTATCATTTAAGTCATTTTATGTCGTTACAATTTTTTTTGAAAGTTTTGAAAAGAGTAATGTTCGTTTTGTTTGATATCTTTTTTTCTGAAATTGTGTGTAGTGTAGTAATAAGTGCATTTTTTTTCTTTTATGTGTATATTTAGAATAGCAATGCTCATTATCGTTTTTATAGCTTTATTTGATTATAATTGACTCTGTCTTTGGCTTCGTTTGTGTAGATTAGGGAATGCGATGGCATTCCTTTTAGCAAAGAAACATTTCAAATGACCTTTGATTAGAATTATCACTGCACTGAATTTTGTCATGTTGAAATTAGTTTTCGATGTCCATTGTTTTATACTTTATCTATACATAAATTGCAGTACTTGTTATCATCCATTGTAATATATAGCACTTGTCATTTTAATGAATAAAATGAGTTACTAAAATAAAGAAAATTTCTGTCTTTTCCTGTAAAAATATATAATAAATGCTTTTCTTTCTTTTGATAGTAGAACAATTTCAACAACTTCTTGATTGCTGTTTTCTAAATTATGCAGATTGTCAATGGAAATATTATTATTTCAAATAATTTGTCATTTTCTCTGAAATATTCAATTTAAAAGTACATTATTATCTAAGGATTACAATATACATTTAACAATATTGTTTATAACAATATTATTTTTGTTTGTAAGACTCATTATTACATCTGTATTTTAGAAGAATCTATTGTTTTAATGCTACGTTTGGAAATCCAATTTATACTTACAGTTCACGTTCTAAAGATGGAATTCTTCAAAATCACACTTCAGTCTTTAATACTTTTAATATTCCAGTCAACCAAGGTGAAATCGATCTACCCTATCTATACTGGAATCCTAATCTTTATGAAAATCATTACAAATAAAGATTCATTGGTGGGACCAGCAAATGTTCTACCGATCCTCTTCCTTTACTTCTCACAAAAATATTGACTGTTATAAAGAAGAATACAGCACTTAGATATTGAACTGTATTTCCATTTAATGGAATCTTGATCTCGGGTGCTGGTGCATCAAATTCACGTGCTTTGGCAAACGTACAGTACCAACCAGACCCAACCTGACACAAAGCAGTCCCAGAGCAGTCCCACAGCGGTCTCAGCGGTCCCAGAAAGCAGTCCCAGCGGTCTCAGAAAGCAGTCCCAGTGGGCGGGGTTAATTAATTTAATGGGCGTAGCTTACTCAGAAATGAGATTACCAATAAACATTGTAACTATAAAAGGCAGTTGAAATTGATGATCCATTTCTTTCTGAGCAGTATCAATTCTCATGCGACAGTCATTTTTGAACTGTTAAGAAAATCACACTATGCGCATAGAAACAAATAATAAATACTGAACAAAGAAAACGTTCACACCTACAAATAACATGAATATTTAAACACAGTTTTGTGGTATATTAATTTTTCACCAAAATAAATCAATTTTTTAATTTACTGTGATTTATATTGGTTTCCATATTTATTTATTTATTTTTTTATAGAAAATTAAACTTAAGTTATTTATTTTCTATCAAAACCTAGCTTTAAATAGACCTTATAATTATAGAGCAAGGCCGATTTCCATACTATACTCTGAATGCAGTTTTCTTAAGTACTGGAGCTTTTGAAAAATTCTTTGAGTATTATATTTCAGTCATGATTATTTTCACTGACTTGCCAATTTAATTATCGTTAGATTATCTATGTAACAGAAAACAATAATACTTTTATTATATAAACATTTGAGTGTATATCTGTAAATCACGCGAATGGAACCCTCAGATTATGTTCAAAATTAATTAATCCCGAAATAAACGAAGAATTTTTGCAGTACATAGATTGAAATTAGTGTCATTGTTGACCAGCATGTTCAGTGATGTGTAACACTGATACCTAAATAATTAACATGCATTGACTTTCTGCTAATCATGCCCGAAGGCGATTGAAACCTCAGGTGTTGACACCATTTTATAAATTTGTATTGCTTTTTATTAATCGGCCAGGAAAACACAAACAAAACAAATAAGAAATAAGTCACAATTCCCAATAATTTAAAAATGTTTATAAATTTACTCTTTTAATAACTTGTTTATAAATCAAAAACAAATTCATAAATAGATCCCCCAGTAATTGTTCACAAATATAATTGTTTAAATGACTGAAGAATGGTAGAATAATTTTATTTCATGGTCATTTAATAAATTATTAGGTTTCATTTGAGGGCGGTAAAAAATAGCATGGAATGCTCTTTTTTAGC